AAACAAAATATAAAACAAAAGCAAAAAGAAATAACGAAGAAAACATCTCGCCTGCTGAACCCCCGCCACCCAGCTCATGCTCAAACCCTAAACCCTAAACCCTAAACCCTAAACCCTAAACCCTAAACCCTAAACCCTAAACCCTAAACCCAAAACCCTAAACCCTAAAACCTAAACCCTAAACCCTATACCTAAAACCCTAAACCCTAAACCCTAAACCCTAAAAGATCGGAAGAGCACACGTCTGAACTCCAGTCACCGATGTATCTCGTATGCCGTCTTCTGCTTGAAAAAAGTATAAACCCTAATTATAGACCCTAATTATAAACCCTAAAAAACCCTTAAAAACCTCTCCTACACCTCACCACCCCCACCCCCCCAAACCCCAACTCCCAACCCCCAACCCCCAAACCCTAAACCCTAAACCCTAAACCCTAAACCCTAAACCCTTGTTCTGTGTATCAGACTATCTGCAAATAGAAGAAATACACGCAGCAGTAGGCAGCAGCATGGGGGCGCTGCAGGCTCTCTCTTGGGGTTGTCTCTATCCCTCTAGGGTTTACTGTGTTGCTGCTGTTAGTGGTGGTTTATATAGCAACCCCACCGCCATTGCCTTTCGTTTTATACAAAGACAAATACTCGTAAACCCTAAACCCTAAACCCTAAACCCTAAACCCTTTTATGCATTTATAAAACCCTTCTAGGCACTTATACACCCTTATAAACCCTAAACCCTAGTAAACCCTTATAAACCCTAAACCCTAGTAAACCCTTATAAACCCTAAACCCTAGTAAACCCTTATAAACCCTAAACCCTAGTAAACCCTATATCAGCACCCCCAAAGACACACATCAAACCCTCACCACAAACATCCTTCGCTACAACCCTAAACCCTAAACCCTAAACCCTAAACCCTAAACCCTAAACCCTAAACCCTAAACCCTAAACCCTAAGCCCTAAACCCTAAACCCTAAACCCTAAACCCTAAACCCTAAACCCTAAACCCTAAACCCTAAACCCTACCCTAGACCCTAAAACCTAAACCCTAAACCCTATACCTAAAACCCTAAACCCTAAACCCTAAACCCTAAAAGATCGGAAGAGCACACGTCTGAACTCCAGTCACCGATGTATCTCGTATGCCGTCTTCTGCTTGAAAAATGTTTTCAGATGTCGGATCCAAATTTTGCTGGGGGTAATTACTACGGCAAGGCCTTTCCTTATGTGGGGATGAACCTCGCCAGACAGGTCTGCTGCTGCTGCTGCTGCTGCTGCTGCTGCTGCTGCTGCTGCTGCTGCTGTTGCTGATTTGGGTGGTGTTGGGCGCCTCTGACGCTCTTGTTGCTGCTGCAGTTGTTGCTGCCTGCTGCTGCTGCTGCAACATTTGCTGCTGTTGTTGCTGCTGCTGCTGCATTAACTCCTTCTACTCCTATCCTACTCCTGCTGCTGCTGCTGCTGCTGCTGCTGCTTCTGCTGCTGCTGCTGCTGCTGCTGCTGCTGCTGCTGCTGCTTAGGTGGCAACGGTGATGTACCGGAGCGGGGCTGAGTGGCTGCATCGTTTTGGGCGCATGCGGCTGCAGCGGCAGCAGCAGGGTTCCCCGGTTGCTGCTGCTGCTGCTGCTGCTGCTGCTGGTGCTGCTGCTGCTGCTGCTGCTGCTGCTGAAGCAGAGAAGGGGGGGGGGCCCCCAGTGGGTACTGCACCGATAGAAGAGATGGGGGGCCCCCATGATAAAGAGTTTATAAAACTAGCGAAAGCAGGAATTCCCCCGCCGCTGCATCAGCAGCAACCGGAGCAGCAGCAGCAGCAGCAGCAGCA